TATAATATAATACAATATAATATAATATAATATAATATAATATAATATAATATAATATAATATAATATAATATAATATAATATAATAATATTAAATATATATTAAAAATATAGACAAAATATATACACAATATAAATATATATATATACACACAATACACAATTTACATATATACACAAAAACATACATACATAAGATAACAATAAAACCATATTAAAACAAACAATAATAATGTTGTTCCAGGTAAGGATTTCAGTAAGACGATTGAGCAGCCCATTGGTGGAGAAGTCATGAAGCAGTTTATTGTCCAGCCTCGAGGAACCGGAGAGGAAAATATGATCTACATGACATTTCCAGTCATCGCCACTCATTATCTAGACATCACCAATCAGTGGGACACTGTTGGCATGAACCGACGCAACGAAGCCATCAACCACATCAAAACTGGTGCGTTGATGCTGGAGAAATGCAATGTGATTGGACAAATGCTATATAGTCATGTGTTGTTTATTTTATTATTTCTGTCAAGGTTATCAACGACAGCTAACTTTCCGTAAACCAGATGGGTCGTTTGCTGCGCTGATGACCACGCCGAGCAGCACATGGTGAAGCCAGCATATCTGCACTACAGACACATTAGCAAAAGCTAGCTGTCTCTTTAGTAAAATATTTAATCATTGTAAAAAAATCTTTATTTATTTATTATTTCATATATCATTATTTCAAAACAGATTCACAGTAAACTAAAATCAGGAACAGAAAATAACCAAATTATCAAACATGAAATCCAGGTTTCGTTGTTATGCAGTTTTAACACTGCAAAAAAATGATACATACTGAGAGTTTTTGTCCAAATGTCTAAAAATCCTTAAACCAAGAAACATTTTCTAGACAAGCAAAGAATATTGTCTTGTTTTAAGAAATAATATGCCAAACTTTAGTGAGTTTTCCCTTTAAAAAGCATAATATTCTGTCAATGGGATTAGCAAAATAATCTTGTTTTTCCTTTTGACATATGATTATTTTGTTTACCCCATTAGTGGATTAGTTTAAGCTTTTTTGCGGATTATTTCTTAAAACAAGACAATAATTGTTTTTTGAACTATTCCTGACATATTTATATATTTTTTCTCTTCTGTCTTGGAAGGTTGACAGCGTATGTGGCGAAGGTGTTGACGATTGCCAGTGATCTGACTGTGGTGGACGAGAGTGTGATCTGCAGCGCCCTCCAGTGGCTGGCAGCAAACAAACAGCTGTCAGACGGCATGTTCAAAGAGGATTCGCACATCCTTCATGAAGAGATGCAGGTAATGGCACTGCCGGATTCACTACATCAGAGGGTTTCTAGTTCAGTCCATATGTTTATAATCATCCACTGCCTCAACCTTTTAAAGCAAATTATTATTATTAATTTAATTAAGATTTAAATAGATATGAATATAAAAAATGCAAACAAATATTCAATTAAAAGATTTAATTTCAGTTGAATTAAATAAACAGATTATATATGAAGAGTTCAGATGCAAAACCCTAATTGCCATCAAAACATTTCTTCTAAAATTAGCATTTTTTTCAGCCTCGTATGCTTGTTCGTTTATTATAAAAGCTAAATTTCTGAGCCTACACACAAAAGTCGAAGAAAAATAAAGAAAATATCAAATGGCACATAGAGGTTTTTGCATCTGAACTCTTCATATATATTCTTACTTTTCTTACTTAGTTAGTGCAAATATCTAAATATTCTTAAATCTAGAAGCATTTTTTAGACAAGTAAAATTTAATAAAAACTTTTCAACGAGCTTAAAGACCAGCAAAATAATTTATCTGTGGGGGAAGCTGAGTAATCCAATGTCAAAAGGAAAAACACTGGTAGATTATTTTGCTTGTTTCAAGGGAAAACTCACTTTATTTTGCCATATTATTTATGAAAACAAGACAATATGCTTTGCTTATCTAGAAAATGCTTCTTGATTTCATGATTTTATTATTATTTATTATTATTATGTTAAAAGTAAGAAAAGCATTCGTTGCACTGTATAATCAGTCACTGCAATCATGTTTTGCTCTAAAAATGCACAAATATCTTGTTTATTTATTGATCTCAAGTTCCACTGGACACAAAAAGTTCTGGAGGTACTAGTGAATATATAATTCACAGTAAAGTAATGTAGCTGTTTAATAAATACTTTGTGAGCAATTGTTAGTGTTTCATTGATTGATTAATTGATTGATTGGTTGATCTAAAAATAATACTGAAACAATGGTGGAAATTTCCAATATATTTCAGAAAAAAATGACAAATGATACTTTGATGCATGTTTGTCTAATTCACCCTTGTGTATTACTCCGCCCACATATAGCGACAAGCAGAGGACACAGTTTGACAAGTATTGCTGCTGTTGGACAACATAAAGTACTTTTGAGGCTTTGTTAGTCAAGAATGTAGTTGTTTGGATTGCAACTATGCAGTTTTTTTGTAAGAATAGCGCCTATTTTAAATATTTATAATTTCTGATAGAGTGCGTCTTGAGCAAAAACGGTTGACAATGTTTATCCACAAGATGGCGACAGAGATTGCATAATAAGCCCAAAGAGAAAAACAATGTGATTTCAAACTACTGCTTATCAAATCATTACTAAACAGGTAAATGTTATAGTGCTGTGTTTACACCATAGTAATATTATGATCTCCCAATTGCAATAGTCTATCGAGATTTCTCAATATTTCTCTGAGATGCATTTCATGTCGTTCAGCCTTATAATCTTAAAATGTGAGCAAAATCAGCCGTTTTGTCATCACTTTAGACATTAGGCTAGTGAATTGTTCAAATACTAGCTCTAAAGTGACATTGTTAGTGAAGTAACTATGGTTTCTGCTGTTCTGACGTCAGATGCAGATGTCAATGAATGACAAAAGAAAATAGTTCCTTTTAAAAAAATGTTTTTTGAGACTCTCCGTGTTTGGTTTTCTTTTTTATGCACACAATTATGCTGTCAAACTGTTGTATAAACGCAATATCACACAAGTAGCAGTGCGATGTGGCTGTATACCGTCACTGGTGTGTCACTAAGGTTCACTAAGGTACTTGCCAACGCACGCCTCCCACCAGTGCCAATATACAGCCACATCACACTGCTACAAGTGTGATATTGCTCATATATATATATATATTAAACATTAATGTTGTTGAGCAAATACTTTCAAGACAGACAAAAATCCCTGGAAGTCATCTGGTTTTCAAGTCTCATTTATGTGAATATATGTATTTGTTTAATTAAATAAACAAATGTTAATTGCAGGGTGCTGTTCGAGGGAAGGATGCGGACGCCTCTCTGACTGCGTTCGTCCTGATCGCCATGCAGGAAGGAAGTCAGATCTGTGCTAAATCTGTTCAAGTAAGAGTGTGTTTTTCTCCATCAGCAAAAGTGACGCGTCTGTCAGGAGCTCACGTCAGTCTCTCTGTCAATGCTAGAATCTTCAGAGCAGTATGAATAAAGCTGTGGGTTACCTGACGCTCAGAATTCACACTCTCACCAGCCCTTATGCTGTCGCGATCAGCTCCTACGCTTTGGCTCATGCTGGAAAACTGGAGAAAGGCATCCTGAAGAGACACTCCACCCAGAATGATGGTCAAAAACACTATACTACAACAAATATATGTTTTTTAAGGCATCAACTAGACATCATATGGTGGCTTTAAAATATATATGTACAGTTGAAGTCAGAATTATTCGCGCTTATGTCAATTTTATTTACTTTTTCTCATATTTAGTAGTGTATGTGTGTGAATGAGTGTGTATGGCGGTTTCCTAGTGATAGGTTGCAGCTGGAAGGGCATCCGCTACGGGAAACATATGCTGGATAAGTTGGCGGTTCATTCCGCTGTGGTGATCCTAGAATAATAAACTTAGCCGAAAAGAAAATGAATGAATGAATGTGTCGAAAAAATATACAGGGGGGCTAATAATTCAGACTTCAACTGTTTATGCTTCATCATAACTAATCAAAGCAGTTTCTTCATTGTTATCCATGTGTACTGTATTTGACCCAACAGCTGGGTCATTCTGGAGAGTTCCTGGAGCTCTTCATCTCTCTCTGGAGGCCACAGGTTATGCTGTTCTGGCTCTGGTGAAGGAGCAGGACTTTCAAAGCGCCGGATCGGCCGTCCGCTGGCTGAGAGCACAGAGAGCTGCGTATGGAGCCCACGGGACCACACAGGTACAGATCAGCTTCACTGCACACACACACACAACATACAAGGCTAGTTTATTTATATGGAATTTTTCATACACAGTGCCTATTCAAAGTGCTTTACAGAAACAAGAATAAAAGAAACATTAAATATAAGAAAATTAAATGAAAACAACAAAGAATAAAAATGATAAAAAATGATTTAAAGGTTTTGAAGGTATGAAAAAAGAGACGAAGGACAATGCAAAGTACAAATAAATCTCGAAATTCCAAGGTATGTTATTCCTAGAGAAAAACAGCTAAATAACACAAACTCATCCAGGAACTGAGAATCACCTTGACTGTCAGTGAATACAATCACATCTGTGTACTAACATTCACATTCATATGTAGCTACTTGTCTGTCATGCCACACCTTTTGACGTTTTGCCTTTGTCTTGTGAATGAATAATATATAGGTGAGTCTATGCTTTATTCAGCCAGTTTTGCTTCTGTCAGCTTTGTGTCTTTATCTGTTTGTCTCCATCTTGTGTCTGAATGATGTGCAGGTTAGTGTATACTCCATCAACTGTTTTAATCTCTGTCAGCTTTGTGTTTTTGACTGTTTGGCACCATCTTGTGTCTGAATGTTGTGCAGGTTAGTGTATACTCCATCAGCTGTTTTAGTTTCTGTCAGCTTTGGGTTTTTGACTGTTTGTCTCCATCTTGTGTCTGAATAATGCGTAAATTAGTGTATACTCCATCAACTGTTTTAATCTCTGTCAGCTTTGTGTTTTTGACTGTTTGGCACCATCTTGTGTCTGAATGTTGTGCAGGTTAGTGTATACTCCATCAACTGTTTTAATCTCTGTCAGCTTTGTGTTTTTGACTGTTTGGCACCATCTTGTGTCTGAATGTTGTGCAGGTTAGTGTATACTCCATCAGCTGTTTTAGTTTCTGTCAGCTTTGGGTTTTTGACTGTTTGGCACCATCTTGTGTCTGAATAATGCGCAGGTTAGTGTACACTCCATCAGCTGTTTTGTTTTTGTCAGCTTTGGGTTTTTGACTGTTTGTCTCCATCTTGTGTTTGAATAATGCGCAGGTTAGTGTATACTCCATCAGCTGTTTTAATCTCTGTCAACTTGGCATTTTTGACTGTTTGGCGTCATCTTGTGTCTGAATAATGCGTAAATTAGTGTATACTCCATCAGCTATTTTAATCTCTGTCAGCTTTGCGTTTTTGACTGTTTGGTGTCATCTTGTGTCTGAATTATGTGCAGGTTAGTGTATACTCCATCAGCTGTTTTGTTTTTGTCAGCTTTAAATTTTTGACTGTTTGGCGCCATCTTGTGTTTGAATGATGTGCAGGTTAGTGTATACTCCATCAGCTGTTTTGTTTTTGTCAGCTTTGGGTTTTTGACTGTTTGTCTCCATCTTGTGTTTGAATAATGCGCAGGTTAGTGTATACTCCATCAGCTGTTTTAATCTCTGTCAGCTTTGTGTTTTTGATTGTTTGGCGTCATCTTGTGTCTGAATAATGTGCAGGTTAGTGTATACTCCATCAGCTGTTTTTGTTTCTGTCAGCTTTGCATTTTTGACTGTTTGTCTACATCTTGTGTCTGAATGTTGTGCAGGTTAGTGTATACTCCATCAGCTGTTTTAATCTCTGTCAACTTGGCATTTTTGACTGTTTGGCGTCATCTTGTGTCTGAATAATGCGTAAATTAGTGTATACTCCATCAGCTATTTTTATCTCTGTCAGCTTTGTGTTTTTGACTGTTTGGTGTCATCTTGTGTCTGAATTATGCGCAGGTTAGTGTATACTCCATCAGCTGTTTTGTTTTTGTCAGCTTTAAATTTTTGACTGTTTGGCGCCATCTTGTGTTTGAATGATGTGCAGGTTAGTGTGTACTCCATCAGCTATTTTAGTTTCTGTCAGCTTTGTGTTTTTGACTGTTTGGCGCCATCTTGTGTCTGAATAATGTGCAGGTTAGTGTATACTTAGGTTAGTACATTTTGGGTGGTTGTTTTCTCAGAATAAACTCTTCAGTCGTAAGCAACTGATAAACCTCTCAGCATTTATTCAGTGTTGACAGTCGCCTGGATGTACTTCACTTCACTTACATCAGCAGCCCAAAATAAATAAAAAAAGCTGTGTGTGTAATGTGGCTCATAGTGATGGACTTGTTAGCTTAATAAACAGGTCTGTGTTTGTCTGTATTTCCAGGCAAGCCTCATCGTTTTCCAGGCCGTTGCTGAATACCGCACTGGGGCAAAGAAGCAGGATGTGAACCTGGATATCCAGCTCTCTGTGGAGGGGAGAAAAACACAGAACAAATGGACGTTCTCTCGCTCTAACAGTCATGTGACGCGATCAGACAAGGTGAAGGTTGAAAATTTTATCTTTGGTTTGTTCATTTTCAGCACTTAGTGTAATGTTTAAGTGTAAACCGTGTCAATATTGGTCACTTTAATTGTGATTTGAAATTTTCATCATGCAAATTTTCATAACGCCTCTTATTTGATATCATATGGCATGTAATTTGAGTCAAATCTTTCACATCAGGTCCAGCTGGCACAAGGCTTCAACGTCACGGCTCATGGGAATGGACTGGCCACTCTCTCGGTGAGGATTCATAAAAATAAGTCAAAATATAGATGCCAATTAATGTTACTCCCTGTAATTTGAGTCTTTGTGTCCTCTCAGGTGTATTCTCTTTATTATGCTCTGCCTGAAGAGAGAGAAAACGACTGTAAAGTGTTTGAGCTCAGTGTGCAGATGGACAAACAGCTTGAAGGCCAGTTTACAATTCAGCACTTGGCAGATGCTTCTATATTTGGCAATTTATAATATAATATAATATAAAATTATAATATAATAAAATATAATATAATAAAATATAATACAAAATAAAATAATATTATATTATATTATATTATATTATATTATATTATATTATATTATATTATATTATATTATAAAATAAAATAAAATAAAATAAAATTATATAATATAATGTAATATAATATAATATAATATAATATATAATACAATATAATAAAATAGAATAAAATTTAATATTATATAATATTATAATGTAAAATAATATAAAATAATATAATATAAAATAAAATAATTGAATATAATAAAATATAATATAAAATTATAATATAATATAATATAAAATTATAATATAATATAATCTAAAATTATAATATAATATAATATAATATAATTTAATATAATTTAATTTAATATAATATAGGTACTTAAAAGAACAAAAATATAAAAAACACATTATCCTGAGAGTTTGAAAATAAAATATTTTGGGTTTTCAACATAATAATAGTCAGACGTGTCTTGATTTCTAAAATCATCAGATTACACTGGTTTCTGAAGAATGAGTAATTATGTAGTCCTGAATGAGTAATTATGCTAAAAATACAACTGAATCACAGCATAAATTGCAGTTTACAATTTTATTATTTTGAATTGTAATATTATTAAACTTTTTAAAATGTATTTTTTAATAAAAAAAACAGCCTTTAAGCAATAAATTCAAACATAAAAAATTCTTACCGACTTATCTTTGTATATATATTTTTAATATTATAATTTTTTTTTTAGTCTTTAGTAGTTTTTACCACATTTCTTCAGGGCTTGGAATTCATGTGAGACTGCTACTACTACTAATGATCATAAAATTGATTTGACTTTTTTTTTTAAATTATGGAATATGTAAATGTTTAGATAATTTGTGTACAATACAATTTCTTGTCTTTAATTATTTTAATTATGTCTTTAGTGGGTGTATTATATGAGATAGTTTTTTAATTCATTGAATTTGTAAAGTAACAATTATAATTACTTGTATTTTATGTAAAGTTCTCAGCTCTTATAAGATGTCATTTTACCTGTTTTTGAAAACAACAAAAAGCTGATCGCAAAAAATATGGCCGATGCTTACCAGTGAAATCTCTCCATGTGCAGTGTCTCATCCGGGAGCCATCGAGAGTTACCTGCTCACCATTGAAACACAGTGAGTATAAAACTCAAATAAAGACATTTTTTTTATCAGTTTTCTTCTTTAGTGTGATGATGTGCGTCTGATGCTGTGTTGAAGCTTCAGGAGCTCAGAGAGAGATGCTGCCATGTCTGTTTTAGATGTCGGGCTGCTGACGGGCTTCAAGGTGGATGACGGAGATCTTTCAAAGGTAAAAATACTCAATGATTATGCTAAAAATGGATTCATTTATTAGTATTTTTGTGTATGTGAATTATCACTTTACGTGCTGTGTATGATTAAACACCTTAAAAGTAAACATTTAAAAGGACAGTTCTCCCCAAAATTAACGTTTACTCACTATTTGCTCTCCCTCAATTGATTCCAAACACTTATGTCAGATTCTTCTGTTGAACACAAAAGAAGATATTTTGAAGAATGTTCGACACATCATGGTTTTGCCAAGTACGATGCGATCCTGGATTAACACCTATGTTGATCCTGGAGCATATTTTAGTTGGAAAATGTAATCCATGTCTATTCCCTACCCCAAAACCCAAACGTAACTGTAAATTATTTCTAAAATCATTGGGGAATAATAGTTGTATAACACTTATGTAGAAGTGCATAAAGCTAACCGTAAGCCTAAACTTAAAATAAATGGTAAACGTATCCCATAATTCTGATTGGCTGGGAAACAAAACCTAAGAATTGTGTTGTTTCAACTCATTTTAAATAAGAAGTTTAATCAAGCAGTAAAAATGATGAGAATTTTGAGTTTTGGGTGAACTATCCTATTAAAGAATATATGAATATAGATGAATATGTAATTAATTGTGTATATTTGAGAATTACAGATGGGAAATACTGTATAATAACACTGATTTCTGTCCATCAGTTGGCTAAAGGGAAAGACAGATACATCGACAGGTTTGAGATGAACAAGGAGCTTTCTGATCGAGAATCGCTGGTCATCATCTTAAATAAGGTACTTAAAGTCTGTCATTTATGTATGGATACAAAAACATAAGCAAATGTTGATTTACCATACCTGTAAACATTGGGTTGTGAAAATAAGGGATAAGCCCACCATAATAAGGGACCCCCAGACCCCCCGCATTAATTTATTCTATTATTTTTTGCTGAATATTACTGAAAACAATCATAATATTTTATTATCATAAATACAACCAGGGCTTAACATGAACTTTTTTGACCACCAGCCACTGTGGCTAGTATTTTTCCAACATTACTAGCCACTCGCCATTTTCACAAGCCACAATTTTATTGTTGGGAAAATATTTTTCATGGGAAAACATGCAAAATATAGCTGTATACTATACTTTTTATTTAACAAAACATATGCACAGTCATATGTCCTGGCTAAAGGTCCTAGATCACCAGTTAACTACACATAAATGGGGAGTTAATCTCACATTAAAGCAATGTTATTGTAAAAACGGATAATTAAACCATATTAATGCAAAGGAAAGCAGGTAAAAAACATACTGTGATAATGAAAGGATGATCAGACACGCATGGTTAATGATAGACCCATAAATAATCTGTTCAAAGAATGGTTAAACCAAAAGCAACTGGCGCTGCTTACAATAAGTCAACTCTGGAACTCTTGAAAGCAGCAGGACTGTGGGTGCATGTTCCTTCCTTTTTGTTCAGTCTATTTGAAAGAGAATCGATCGCATCAGTTGCGTTTCTAGACACAGTTGCTTCACAAAAGGAAACGGGAGCGCACACGCATCACCTCAGCTGTTAGCGCGAGTGATTATCCTCTCATTCGGTATTCACCTGTTTTGCTCGCGCAAAGTTGCGAACGCAATTATTTTTGTCAGTCGTTTTGCTTCTCGATCGCCTGTGCATGCATATTGGACCATCCTTATTGTCGAACCCTGCTTTTAAGAATTATTATCTGAGAAAATTAGTTTCCACCAGCCAAAGTGGCTAGTGGGAGTGTCTCTTACCCACCACCGCCGAAATCTACCTGCATTTGGTGGGTGTTAATGTAAAGCCCTAAATACAGCATACAGTAAATATAACTATTTTCTACAGTAAATATTATAACAAATAAATAACAAGTCTAGTATCTCCAGGTGCATCAGAGTAATGTAGCTTCTAGCTAACAATGTTTATCTATATATTATTCTATATACTATACTACACCTGTCTTACCTGCATCTGAGCTAACTGACCTGAACTTTCTCTATCAAATGTCCAGTCTGCATCCTTCTTATGGTCTCTAAAACCCAACTCATCCTCACTTTCATCTGCAGGATGAGCCAGTTCTGTCCTTTTCTTCTTTAAATTATTATAGAACATGGTGGTGCTCGCTAATACACTGTTCCCTGTATTGATATCTATTCAAAAGTAGTATTGCCATTAAAGCTATGTTTTATCCATAATGCAAATGCAATTACCATATGAATAATCAACATTATATTATTAGCATTCATGTTGTTATTGTAACAACTTAAAAGTTCACATCTGACCTTGCTAGCTAGATAACCCATTGCAATATTGCATGTTCCACTATTGCACAGTGTTGCCATTCGGTAACACACACATTTGATCGATTTGCAAAAAACTAATTGATTTAAAAAAAATTGAGTTGTAAGTCATCATAACTTACTGGAGGTGATGTTTCAGATTTTTTTGTGGATCTAAAATAATTTGATGCTTTGTTTTTATTGATGTTTACATGTGCATTTAGCAACTACTCACAATAAACGGCAGTCTGTCAGAAATGGCACTACAGTAAAACACTGGATGTCATGTGACTTAGGCAAAGCACATCATTGGCTACTCTAAGGTCTTCTCTTTCCAACAACAAAAAAAATGTTGGTCTTAAAGAAACAGTAGCAAGGAAATGAACATGAGTATCATGTTGCCATATGGCTACGCCGTGCAGTAGAGGGTTAACAAAGTGACTTTTATTGATATTTTAGTCGTTTGAGCTAATATAATGTATAAGAAATAATAGCAAGAGAAGAAAAGTCTGTAAAATAACAGAAAATGTGCTGCAGTTTATCACAAGGGTTATTTAGCATAATATATATCACCAACTCAGACGATATAGCACTGCACACTATTACAAATGTTTAAAAAATGTTTAAAACAACTGTTTAAGGTTAAAAGTTATGAGAAAGATCAAGATCTCATAATAAATAAAAGGGGAAAAATAAAAACATCAATCTCAAAATACAGAAAACTGCGAATTTACAAACATTTTTACAGTGCTGAATATAACTTTTAGAGTAAAAGCCTCAGTTTCAAGTTTCAAGCCGTTTATATAACAAGCCTTTCAAGCCTCAGACCGGCCCACCTCAGTTCACCACTGACTATATTAAAATAAGGTTATTTCCAATTCAGTTTCTAATTACACTATTACGTCTTTTTTGAGAAAACAGCTCTTTTAGAACTTCAAATGTTCAACAACCCTTACAGTATTATGTCTTAACAATAAAAATGAAAAAAAAAAAAGTTGTTACTCAGACAAGGACCGAACCCAGGTTGGCCGTGTCATAAACTAACGTACTAACCACTGTACCACAACAGCTGTATGATGTACAGTGACATATCTAGTTATATCATCATTAAACTGCAGGCTGCATCTTGCTCACGAGGCTACGAGAAAATAGATAAAAAGAGCAGAGCTGCGGTAAAATAATGAATAAGAAGGCTGTGGTCAAGTAAATAAATAAATTATTTTTAAAAAGTGAGACTGCTGAGAGCAACAGATTCTGGAACTAGGGACACCGGCCCTCGCGGCCAAAATACGGACCAGCCCACCGGGAATTCTCCCGGTCCTCCTGATTAGCCAATCCGGGCCTGTTTATAGATGATAGTAACAGGATTTCTGTACTACAAAGCCTCCTCTGTCCACTCACCGGAGCTCCCTCCTTATATCCTGACACCAGCTGTTTGTGTGTTTTCTTCAGGTTTCTCATAAAGTCCGGGACAGGGTTGCCTTCAGGGTCCATAAAGTCAATGAAGTGGGAATGCTGCAGCCCGCTGGAGTCACAGTCTATGAATACAACACTCCAGGTACAGGACAACAGGGTCTTAAAAACTCTTAAAAGGTCTGCCTTTTCAAAAACATTCATCATGATATTGTGTCTTAAAGAGATAGTTCACACCAAAATGCTAATTCTGTCATTTTTTACTCACTTATACTTGTTTCAAACCTTTATGAGTTTATTTTTCCTTGTTAAACACAAAAGAAGATATTTTGAAGAATGCTGGAAACCTGTAGCCATTGACTCCTGTAGTATTTCTTTTTTACTATGGAGTGAATGGTTACAGGTTTTCAGCATTCTTTTGTGTTTAACAGAAGAAACGTATAAAGGTTTAGATTTAAAGTTTGGGGTGAACTGTCCTTTTAAGGCCTGTTCAGAATGATTTAAGACTTCATAAAGGTTTGTACATTAAGTAAATTTTGGGGTGAACTGTCTCTTTAATTTTTAAAGTTCATTATAAAGCTACTCAATCAGGCCAACAGCAATCCAATCACCAACAATCCATCTCTATAAAATCTTTAACAATCTTTTTATTTATTACCTCTATCACTATTATTGATGAATTATCTTCCTTACCTTAACATTAGTTAAAAAAAGTCCATGTATTTAAAGTACAGCTACCCAATGAGGACAGTGACCTGGACAGACGTGTGTACTATATGCATTTAGTTTATTACAGTTTTTAAAACGTGTCAAGTTGTTAAAAAAAGCTTATGTTGAAGTAAATGTGTGTGCATACACTAGAATTTTCCACTGGTGCAACCAGGCCATTAGAAGAAATGCTCAGTGTTTAGCCCTGTGATTCTGACATTTCATCCATCATGGTCTTTAAAAAGCTCTTAAAGTGTTCAGCTTGTTTACTGTTAAAATAGCCTGTTTTTAGCCGTTCTGCTTTATCTGCAATAACTCCTGCTCTTCCACAGATGATCGCTGTGTGAAGTTCTACCATCCACACAAGAGAGACGGAGCTCTCAACAGACTCTGCCATGAGGACCTGTGTCAGTGTGCTGAAGGTGTGTGTGTGTGTGTGTGTGTGTGTGTGTGTGTGTGTGCGTGCGTGCGTGCGTGCGTGCGTGCGTGCGTGCGTGCGTGTGTGTGTGAATGACGGGTCGTACAGGTGCTGGACCTTTTAAAAAAAATCTTTCTAAATAGATAATAATACTTAATATTACATGTTAATAATTACAAAAGTTTAGGTAATTTATATTTTAGATACTTTTTTTATTTAATTTGTATTTTTAATTTATATATTGAATTTTATCTAAAGATTTTTTTTTGCACAAAAGAAAACTGGAGACTCTGCGTGTGTCTTTTTAGATTTGATTAACAATTCAAGAGTGAACAGTACATGAAATTAAAATAAATATAAATTTAAGAGGAAAGATGACAGTAATTCAATGTTGGGCTTGGAGTTAACATGATTTTTTTCATGGAATACTATATTATACTATACTATACTATACTATACTATGCTATGCTATACTATACTATACTATACTATAGAATTATATATATATATATATAAACACATACACATACAACAGTTCTGTCTGGTTCTTGAATCTGATTGGCTGATAGTCGTGATATATTTAAGTAATATCAGCACCCGTATAGCCTCTTTACCCTTTGTGTATTACTCCGCCCACATACAGCCAGTAAAAAGCAGACACTACAGATCTAAAGTTTAAAAGATGCACGCTCAACTGTTTAACTGTCAGCTTATGATTTGAAACCAACGCAGAAGAAAGTAGTTCCACATACAAAAGGGTTTTTGAGACTCTCCATGCTTGATTTTGTTTTTATATACACAATTATGCCGTCAAACTGATGTATAAACGTAATATCACATGAGTAGCAGTGCGATATGGCTGTATATCGGCACTGGTGGGGCAATGCACGCCTCCCATCAGTGCCTATAAACTGCCCTATTGCACTGCTACTCATGTGATATTGCTCATATATATATATATATATGCATACTGTAACAAATAGCATCTGATATAATGTGATGTAATATATATGTTAGTTAATGTAATTTGCTGGACAGAATTGAAAGCTCACATGGAAAGTGGGTAAATTTAAAAAGGTGAAAGAACCCTAATGCATGAATGAACACTGTCCTGATTATATTTATGAGTGTGTGTGGCTTACAGAGAACTGCAGTTTCCAGAAGAAGCATCATGTTCCTGAGTCTCAGCGTGCTAATAAAGCCTGTGCGCCTGGAGTGGAGTACGGTAAATGTTAAACATGCATTTCTCTCAGTTACAGTAAATGTTCAGAGCTGTGATTTACACGCTGCAATTCAACTCTTTTATAGTTTATAAAGCCACGCTGGTGGGAATGGAGCTTTCACTGCAAGCAGACATTTATAATATGACCATCAAACAAGTGCTGAAAGAAGGTAGGATGACAAACATCAATGCAATTATGTGTACAAGTCAAAATATGGATCAATGTGTGTTTATGTATTTACAAAACTCTCGTCTATACACAAAGGGCTCCTTTACTGTACACAGTATTTAGTTTTAAAATGTAACACAACATGAGTTGGCAAATTGACAAGTTACAGTCTTATTTACTTTGAGTATTAGAGTACATTTTACTATAAATAAGATGGCATGTGTTTTCTGTGTTACATGTGGTTAAATCTTGTTAAAAGCTTTTGCGGCTGGTTTTCAGGCACGGATCCGGATGTGGAAGGGAAGACCCGGTCTTTTTTGGCCCATCCCAACTGTAGAGAGTTCCTGAACTTTGAAGAAGGCAAAACATACCTGATCATGGGCCAGACCACATCACTGCCAACCATCGGTGGAAAGTAGGAACTTTACTATTAATGTTACAGTACTAGGACCATTTATTATTATTATATGTGCATATGTGAACCTGGAGCGCAAAACCAGGTCTTGAAAACTAGTCTTGTGTTGCACTAGTACATTTGTATTAATAAGGGGTGTCTTGATTTCGATTTTAAATGGAAATCGATTGAAATTTATGCTCAATTTCGATTATCGAATCAAAAAATAGAATCGTCGATGCTGCCACGCCCCCATGTCACGTCAGCTTGGCTTGCCAAGCAGGAAAAAACAGGCTTGTTGAAGTGCTTGTTAAACTGCAGAAGCAGGAGACCCGTCGACAGAACTTAAACCCTCTCCTCTTTCAATGAAGTCGCCGGTGTGTAAGCATGTTGGATTTCTAGTGAGTTATGTTGACAACGTTCGTGTTGTCGACAAAAAAAACACAGTTTTGCAAGCTCTGCTATGTACGTATTACGTACGGTTCGTCAGATAGACAACACCGGCATCGCGACCCTCCGCCCGCCCCCGTTGCAAATCCGCTCGCGAAAAGTACACACTCAGGCCCTGTTTACACTGTCTTTGTTTTTAAATGGCATTTTAGAACGACAACGATTTGACATCCACAGTGGCGTGTAGCATTTCTGAGCAGCCCTCCTTCCTCACTACCTCTGAAAACGCACATCACGTGAACACACAGACACAGACGCACACATAGCCATGCGCTCGAGACAGCAGGTCCAGGCAGTCAGAGGACTGCTTTAATCTTTCACTCACTTGTACTTAGTCATTTTAGCGAACACCTCAGATACTGTTGGCTGGTTCCTGTTGGTTGTGCGTCTTTTTTACTGACGCCATTATAACGGCACAGATCACTGCCTGTTCACGAGTCCCGCAGAAAAAGTGATTGACAGGTGGTAATTATGCGTGTATCTTGCCTTTATTCATTTACTGTATGATTTGTTTATGGGTAAAACAAAGACCATGCAGGTCAGGTAGTTTAAACGGTAGGCTACAAATAATTAATTGGTCATTAATTTATTAATTATTCATAATCGAAAATTTAATCGAATCGTGCCTTTAGAATCGAAAATGTAATCGAATCGAGGATTTGGAGGATCGTGACATCAATCATCAAAAGCACATCGTATGTGTCCACATTTTCAATTAATTGTCACATTTAGTCATTTAACAGACGCCTTTATCCAACGTGACTTAAAGTTCATCTTTATTAACAGGTAATCTTTATTGTCATTGTACCAAACAAAAACAACGAAATTAAAAAGCAGCTCTAGCATGGTGCTTAATAAATACAAATAAAATTTTAATTAATACTGAATAAACCAGCTTAAACCAGCCTAGGCTGGTTTAAGCTGTTTTTTTTCAGCAGGGTGTCTTCAATACTGTTTTTTATTACTGTACTGTACAGTTCACACTGACACAATTTAAAATACCCTGATTCACAATAACATACAGACATAACACATACAATTCATATATTCATAAATGTGTGTGTGTGTGTGCGTGTGTGTGTGTGTGTGTGTGTGTGTGTGTGTATATGTGTTTATATCTTACAGACTGAGGTACAGTCTGGGTGAGCAGACCTGGGTTGAATACTGGCCGACAGAGGAAGAGTCTGAAACGGAGGACTTCAGTGAGCAGCACAGGGGTCTCGCCGCTCTCACTGACCAGCTCTTCAACTTCGGATGCACAACATAATCATGATCGTCAGCAGCTCTGGCCAATCAGTCTGTAATCCAAAACACAAATGAGGATTTGTTTTCATAAATCTTTAACACGAACACTATTCCATAATCCTAAACATTAAACATGGCTGTAAGAATACTGCAACAACAATACATACAAATAAAGCGTGACTCTTTTTACTACTTCAGCTGATTCTTGCATTTATTCTAGACTTGATTGTAGATGGCCGTTTTTGCAACATAGGTCATTCTAAAAACGTAGACCTAAATACATTTCTGGATAGTGTGAATTATGTAACCAGAGGTACTTATCAAGGCTGCGTTTTGTCTTTAAAACTATTGCTACGAGGGGGTTTCCATGCTTACGTATGGACGGCTTTCCCGCTGTTACCAGTTTGCCCAGTAGTATGTAGAGATGCAGAAAGCTAGTAATATTAATTTAAGCTGATATATTTAAAACATCTGACAAAATCAAAAATTACGTAACTTCCTCCTGTCAGCAGGTGGTTCTATGACTATAACACAATATTGGCATGTAGATGTCTTCAGGAGAGGAATTTTATTAACCATGTGAAGTTTCAGGCAGATCGGACATTGTGTTAAGTTATAAGTACTTTCTTTTCCATGGCGAATTACTGAGGTTTGTCATGCCGCCATGGACACGCCCCTCTGCTAAAACTCTAGATCTTCACAATATATCATCGCTAGAGCTTTCGGATAACACCACTCAAATATGATGCTGATATGACAAAATTTGTGGGAGGAGTTTGTTGCACTGTAAAACATGTCATTTCCTGTGGCCAGCAGGTGGCGCTATAACTGTATCTGGATATTGGCATGTAAACGAGTTCAGGTCAGGACTCTTATCAAACGTGTCAATTTTGAGGCAGATCGGATAATGCATGCCTGAGTTATAACAACATCCTGTTTTGTGGTGAGTCCTCAAAGTTTGCAAGGCCGACACGGACACGCCCTTTAACAAAAACTCTAGATCTTCGCAATTTAACATTGCCAAGACCTTTAGATGACAAAAGCCAATTTTGGTGTTGATCGGATAAAATCCCTAAGAGGAGTTTGTTAAATAACAACGCCTGGAAATGGCAAAAACGTCACTTTTCCACCACAGGAAGTTAAAAATATCTGACTTCCTGTTGGGTTTGAGATTTTGCACCTGGGGACTTTTTTTGTAGGTATTGGTATGTATGACGTGTGTGCCAATTTTTGTGCGTGAATCGCAGCTCTGGGACCAGTCCGTCTAAAGTGCATAGGTGGCGCTTTCGAGTCATTTTGCCACGCCCACTTTCAATACCTATAACAAACGTAAATTTTCACCACTTTTGGCACGTGCAAAGTTTTGTGAGTTTTCGGGCATGTTTAGCCTCTCAAAATTGCAATTCATTCTCCGGAAGCGGAAGAATAAAATAAGAAACGGATCAATTCCAATAGGGCCTACGCACCGTAGCTGCTTGGTCCCTAACAAGTAAATAACAGGGTAAAAATGTGGTAAAATCTGAAAACCTGGTAAAAATGAGCGGAGGGCTGTTAGTCAGTCAGTCGACACCGGCCTCTGGTGGATATACGCGAGAACAGCAGGTGCGAATGACACACAATTTGAGATCTGAAAAAGCGCACACAGCAGCCACTGGTGGATTCGTGAAAACAAAAACTGCAACAAAAAAAACGTATCTCCTGGGACATATGTGACGCTCTCCATAAATGTATATGGGGGTACATTTTCAGAATGAACATGGGTTGCATTTTTGACTCCAACTCTACCCCAGTCCATGTGCACCACAGACGTATCGCTAGTATTTTTAAGTTGATTCAACTTAATACTGAAGCTGAAGAAACAAATTCCAAATTGAAAACATGAATCCACCACACTGAAAAGCAGGGTCAAATGTAAAAACCATAACTGTGTTGATTGACATCTTTTGCTCTGGCAATTGCGTCAGTGTGACCACACATTTACAGCAACCTCTCCACTGATTGAGAAATGCTGCTGTTTTTTAAAGTTCACTATGAGTTTGCAGACTAGACACCCACATGAAAAAAACTAGTCGATTATTCTAAACACTGTAGGGTTTTTGAACCATACTAGAGCAATGTATTTGAATTAATCCGTAGTGGTGATTCTATCTGTAACATCAGGTCACTTGCACCTAAAGCACGTAATCTAAATAATCTTAATACACTTAATACACATGAAACAAAATGACTAAATTAGTTTAAGTAAAGCCGCTCCTTCAGGATATAATTATAAGCATGTGCCTCGTCAGGTCGTGGTGGTGCGGTCGCATTAATCTTTAGTGATGCAACTCTTTTGGATGCCAACCATCGAGGACTTCAAGGACAACACATACACAAATACACTTCATTACACATGGACATCACCTATATGCTGTGATACTACAGGTGAACTCTGTTTATATATATATATATATATATAATAACCTGTATTTGACTGTATGTAATGCAATAATGTGCACTTTTTGTAAAGCTGCTTTGAATCAATATTTATTGTGAATTGAATTAAATGAACACAACTATATACCAACCCTTTACACTAAAATGATCTGCATGGTGATATTCAACAACACTACCACTTTAAAGCAACACAATACAGTATTTATGACAGTTTATCAGTTGAACAGTACTTCAGTATTCTTTAGCGTTCATTCATTTGTTGTAAATACTATAATATATACAGTATAATGCACTTAACTGTAATAAGTTTAGAAAACACTAATATTTACTATGTATTACTATATTATTTTTTTATGTAGGCTGGAAGATGCACTGTACTGCTGTATGCTTTGTGCGTACCTACCATGAAAGGGCGGTAACCAATGCTGCTTTTTGATTTATTTATTAATTACATAATTTAAATTGATTATTAAACAGTATATACTTTGATATATTGACAAAGCAAGAAAGAATGACAACAAATAAAGGTGTGCGTTTGTGTGTTTTAAAGCATGTACTTGCATGGTAGGAGATGGGTAAAGAAATCTATTGGCTTTAGTTTTGCTGGCGGTTTTTCCACACACTAAAAAGTACAATTCAGAGAGCTAATGTTTCAAACAAGGTTCAAAATGAGTAAACGCTCTTTGAAACAGATAAACTTAATTGAGACATTTACCAGAAGGCCTAAAACTAATGCCCCAAACGAAACGGTGACCGCAGTCTCATCAGCACCTGAGCCGGGGAAACTCTCTTTCATCAGTCAGATCAGATCCAGCTGCTGCGCGGCCTCCTTGCTTGGAACAGCTACCATTCAAAGTGTTTTAAACTATTTTATCCGACAGACTGGCATAAATAAGCAGACATCTCAATTCTCACAACGAGTTTCTGAGTTCTCACCCTTCCGACCGAGTTTGTTCTACCGCGGTAATGTGGGAACATGTTCAGTACTGTTGCGAATAGGCCTACTTTGTAAACGCCTGTCCTGCTCATTCAAATTATTTGATTAAATTAATTAAATTGTAATTGACCGGCACAACATGGAAAACAGTTCAATATAGGCTTCTCTGAAACTGAATATTTCACTTTATTTAGGCTAGATTATTATTTTATTTGACAATCCAATTCGTGATTCGGCATTGATGAAGCATAGCAGATTTGTTTTGAAGCACTTCACTGCAATTGTCACAGGACAGGGTAACACTACAATTAGTTAATGCATTTACTTACACAAACATACAATGAACGATACATGTAATAGGGTACATTTATTCATGTTTATTAACGTTAGTGAATGAAAATAAAGTTGTTCATTGTTAATTGTTGTTAATTGGTTAACCCACAGTGCATTAATGTTAATTACTGATATTACTTGTATTGCTGATATTACTTGTTGGTATGCAACAAGGATATTGGTTGGTGTGGTAAAGCATTACTTTGCTACAGCAATCCACATTTAAAACTAGTTCAAAAGGTAGAATCTTTCTTTTTGCAGTATAACATTTTGCAGTAATACATTTATTCATATAATAATTGCTTTGAAGCAGAGACAGATGAGAAGTACAGTAAATATGTCACAATACCAGCACTGACCGGCCGGACGGTCTCCGCTGAATCATGGTGCAGATCCTCCACCCAAATTACTCAATAACCTGCCAATGATGGTCATGATGATAGAGTGTTTTTCTTGAGCTGAATACACTCAATTATTAGCTTGTATGTCAGTCGGAGACCCACAGGAACGATGCACGGGTGTTTGGTGTGTGTAGCAGCGGTGATCCTCTCATTACCGCTGCTCTCTTTCTGTCAGCCGCTGTGAGTATTTATAATAATAGTAAGATTTTCATTACACTGAGAGCAGTTTTGTTTGTAAAAGTGTTATTCTGTGTGTTGAATGTGACTAACACTACAGTTGTTGTGAAATGAATGTTTGTTTCAGCTACATCCTCTCTGCCCCAAACAAACTGAAGCTGGGCTCTGCAGAGAGGGTGTTTGTGGAGGCGCAGGACTATGCAGGAGCCAGTCTCAACGTCAGGATCTCCGTCAGACGCTTTAAAGATGACCAGCGGGAAGTGGCCAGCACATCAGTCACGCTGACCGCTGGCAAAAACTTTCAAGAACTGGTGGAGATTGAGGTAAAGTGATTTACTATGGTGAAAATGAGCATTCACACTGATAGTCAATATGAAAATACATTATCTTTTAATGTTGGAGTCATTTTAGAAAGTCACCAATCATTTTTTTCACGGTTTCATTTTTAAACCATTATATTGTATTCTAGACATGAAGCAATCATGAGAAACTACGTCATTTGAAAGCTTAAAATGTCTAGTTTCCATGTATAACTGAGTTTGATAGATATTACTGGGCAATGATTGCTTATGAATTTGCAACAAGGATTCTCATCAGAGTCGTAAGGCATTATACTTTGCTACAGCAATCCACTGTAAAACTCTGTTTAGATGTTTCAAACTCCACCAGGTGACCTCAGAATGATGTCTACTTTACAAATACAGTCAAAAGTATAACTAAATATGATTCATAACCCTCAAAGCATAAGGGGCACACTTGTATGGTCAGCAATAGAAACTGGATGTCATCTTGTGGTCATGTTTGGTACTGCAGCCAAACAAAAACTCACTGAAAGCTCATTTTTTGAGATATCAACTTCATTTTTGGATTATAATTTGTTCGGATATTTAGCTTTTATTTTTTTAGTC